CTCTCTTATTTAGTCCCATTCTCCTGCCCTTATTTTTTCCCCCTAAATCTGTCAGCCACCATTGGAGTTGGAGTTAAACTGAAACCAGTTCCAATGTATAGTATGCAGTGTCCAAATACAGTTGGACTCAAAGATCTTAAAGTCTTTTCCAATCTAAATGATTTTATGAATTTTGTACATAGTCTCTTGGGAACTATTGACTGTGCTCAGGGATTGGCATTAGACCCAGGAATTTCTTCAAAAAAGGCTAAGGCTGGGCCTCTTCTCATCTTTCACCTGCACAGGATAAATTGTAGCACTACTTGATCTAGTCTGTGGAAAACCCGGGCAACTACTCTGCCTACTTGCCTGCAAACCCAGCTCTGCACTCAGGACAATTTGTCATTGAAAAATTTCACTAGTATTTGGTCAGCATGTTTTTCTGCAGTGAGCCACTGTGATGCAGTATGTTTCTCCCTAGAATCTGTACTAAACTATTGCTTTCCATGCTCAGAAGACATATTTGTGAAATAAAAGAGCGTACACCCATTTTAACATTCTCTAGTGTGGTATTCTCCAAAACAAAGGAAAAAACCTCTGATCCCTTGAAGTTTTTATCTATAATGGAGTAATTATTTCATAGCATTCCACATATCTGGAAATAGAGTAGAGCCTATTAGCCTATTAGCAACTACTGGAAAACATGGAAAATCCAAATGTTTGTATTATACATTGTATTTCCCTATACTTCCATGTGTTTACATTGCACTGTTTACTTTTTAATTCCAGGCCCTGCTCTTGGCTGGGTAGGGATCTCTAAAGGACTCCAGCTGTAATGCACTGTATCTCTCAGAATGTATTTCTTCCATATGGTATAGTATGAGAATCCTATAGTTTAATTTGGGAACTGTAGTAGCAGCTGGGAACCATGAAATTGAATAAGGACCAGTACTGTAACTCTCTTTAGGCTACAGGAATTTGCAAAGCAAAACTCTTCCATTTCAGGAATGTAAAAATATTTTGTTGAAAATATAAAACATTTCTGTTCCAGTTTAATGGAACTTTGACACTTCAACATTTTGCCTAATTTTGCCTAACATCAAAACCAAATATGAGAAGTGATGGAAATTCTCAATTTGATAATAACTGACACTGCCTAGGACTCAAAGGACACCATAGTGCTACTGAAATTAGCAATAAAATAAGTAAGAGTACTCAATAAGCTCCAGAACTCATGATGAAATGTTTTCTCTTATTCTCCATAATGAAGGTCTATCCATCTTATCAAACTTCTATTATAAACTTTGCCCCTTCTGCATCTGATGATTTTTGCAAATTGTACAAATTTGAAACTAACAATTCTTCTGCAGCATTACACACACAGAAATAAAGTGCATGCTGACAGAAACCAAGGACGTGCAGAAATTCTTTAGCTGAAATCACATTGAACGTGCATTAAGATCCCTCTGTAGAAAAAATCAGAACAATTACATTAGGAGAAAAGGATGATGAAAAAATATGCACTTTCTACAGGCATGCAATGAAGTTAGTATCTAAGCTGATACAAGATTCTGCTTTGAAATTTGTTTTATTGACCAGAAGCTTAAGCAAGTGGGATGACTCAGGGATAATTGACAGGAGAGAGAGGAAGTGAGATGTTGTCGTATGTGCCCTGAGTTGTTTACTCACTGCAAAAGCCTCCAATACATTATGTAAATATATGCAGAACTCTTGCAATTAAATATTATAAATCCTTACTGAATACAACTATCGTGGCTCTCAGATATGCCTGTTCTGGAAAAGCTCACCAAAAAAAATCGTATCACAATAAAAATAATGTATTCTGGTCTTGGCATTTCATATAGTGTAAGGTAAAATATACTTTATGTTGCCACTTGCAGCAACACAGGCAGCAACAGCATCACATGATCAGGATTCTGAAATCTCTTTTATCTGGGATTGCTTTCTGAAATCAAATTCAGGCAGAGAGAAAAGGAGAAGGAAACAAATTCACCCCACATATGCAATAGCCAATAATCAAGAGAACTATGTGAGAAACATCAAGTAGAGCACCAGATTCTTCAAATAATATGATAACTGAAACACAGCTGCTGAATATCCAATTATCTGCAGATCTGTCTTCTCTCAGAGAATGGAAAGGGCACGAAAGGGTTAGCCTGTGGTGAGTAACATGGCAGTGGAAAAAAAAAGAGCCAGTCTGTGCACTAGAGGACAAATCTATCTCAACAAAATTTGTCATCAGCTGTGTTGAACAGGCAGTCTTTTCAAATACATGACAAATGATACAGCTATTCATAGAGCAGGCAAAACACAGGTTGCCATACTGTAAATTGTTACCAATACTGCCCCAGGTACTGAGAGATGTTATGCATTCAGCTGTGGAGCACTAAACCAAAGCTATGCTGAAGTGGAAATTACAGCTAATACAGTAAGAATTATCCAACAGTTATGTGTAACTAACCTTTATGCTTTTTTGAAAAAAAAAAAAAAAACACACAAAAAAAACCAAAAACAAACACCCCACAACTTTGAGGCTTTTAGCACTTGCACTGCATTTCAGGAAATGAGAAACCTTTCATCTCTGACTATAAAGCAATAATATTTTGTTTTGACATAAAGTCTGGGGACCAGATTCATCCAGGTGATGAATCAGTCCTGATTTGCACAGCTACAGAGAAAGGATACACCTTCAACACATTTATAGACCCCTAATATATTTTTAAATATATTTTAAGAAGGGTACAGGTTCACAACCCAATCAGTTCAATAATGCTGCATGCATAAAAATATGTGGATAATTCTCTTCTGTCTTCTTCATGCAGCTTCACTGGGAATCTTGGCTTCAGGCCAAACAACTGCAACAGCAAAGCTTTTTCCCCTCAGCATTTTAGCGAAGTGCACATAACACATCTTTAAGTAAATTAGTGTTGTAACAGGTTTCAACTGATCCATCTTGGGAAGTCAAATGAGAACCAAAAATAGGTCCTGTTTTCAATTTCCCCTGAGCAGAAAAGTGATTTGAAATCCTCCCTTGTCACAGGAAACAAACAAATAAAAAACAAATTTGGCAACTATTCAGTAAATATATGTGCTTATTCAGTATTTAATAAGCTGAACTGTTTATCAGAGAGGGCCAATCAACATATTCAGCAATGGTAGGAAGCAAGTGTGACCCCCCAGGAAACCCCCTTCCTGTGTAGTCAGGTGCTCTGTAGCATTTACAAGGGAAAAATCAACTCAGAATATGCAATGGTTGTCAAAGATACCTCTGCAGAGAGGGGCAGAACACCTCAATAGCCATGTGCCATAAGAATACATGTGTTTTAAGGGACAGGCAATGTATAGGTGAAGATATGAGCAGATATTACTGAGGGTATAAAAAGTACAGTACAGTCTAAACAATAAAGATTGTAAATTCAACTTGAATTATGAAAAGGGGGGAAAAAAATCCATGGAAAATTCCTGCAGAATGGTATAGCCATCAAATCAGTAATAAACATAGCAAGCATTTTAAAGCAAAAGAGCCCTTAGCTTTATTGCCTTTAGGTCTGATATGATTATATGCAGTTTTCAGGTAACTACTACTGGAGTTGTCTGAGATAAGTAACTGTATTTTCAAAAAATGGAAACAAGATGGTCTCACTTGAAGGTTTAGTATTTCCTTAAAATATTTGTGTAATAAAAGTGGTCCCTGGCAAGGCGATCTAGATGTGTTGAATGAGAGAACAAAAAGAAAAAACAGTAGCTAAGCATTAAGCTCCATTTTCAGTACATACTTTTTCCAAAAGTGTAAGAACATAGTGTATGATTTCATAGAGATAGTTGAGATCAAATCCCTGAAAGATTTCTATTTCACTGAATGTACTTGACTAGTATAAACCAGACTCTTCCTAATTTTGCTAAAAACACATGCACATTGAATTATTTTTTCTTAATGCCTGTTAGTAGAATTGGCACCAAGTAACTAAAACTAATAACTTTTTGTATTATTGCTAACATGAGCCTGATGTTCTCCTGTTTGCTTTTCTGAAGGTCACATCCATAGCACTCATCATTAGTGGCAGTTTTGTTACATGTAAGGAGGCAGCAGGGTTATCATGACATCAAGCTAATTACAATTAGCTGGAAGAAGGCAAAGGATTCCCTCATCTCCAACTCTGTAGGGCAAAGGGGAGAACAAGGGAAATATTAATAACATTTTATATAAGAAGTGCTTGATTTTGTCCTGCTAATGTGGAATCACATCTGAAGAAAGGGAAAGTAAAGAAAGGGAAAGTATTTCCTGGGTCCTTAGAAAAATAACAAATGGGTTGTTAATTGGCAAGTGCTTAAATGCCTGGTTCTAATCAGGGTAAATGGGCTTGTTTTTCCAACACTGGGTCTCACATCAAAACAACAAGAAACAATTGAAAAATCTCTGCTGAAGAAAGCAAGAGGAAGTGGGTTGTCACCAGCTGTTCAAAGACAAGATCCTGCAACAAATGTGTAGCAGCAGATGCCATGTGAAGCACAAGGAATGTAAATGCATATGAGTCATCATATAAACTTTGGGGGATGGGAAGGGCGGGGGGGGGGAACTGCAGGCCAGATCCTGGGGGAAAATATTTTCGTGTCTTTAACCATTTTTCCACTTGATTTGTACTTTGTGCAACTACACAGTACATTTCTTTGGAAGAAGGTGTCTCCTTAAACCCTGTTAAAGAGCCACAAACACCAGGAAATTATCTTGCAGAAATATTATGCTTTGGGCTTATCACGTCAAAAAGGAGATGGTCCAGCATCATTGCCTGCCCTGCAGGGAAAGTAGTTTAAAACATTTTCCCCCTCCTTTTAGGTTCATGATAAACCCAAAAATTGTTAAAAGGATTGTTTTTATAACTTGCAACATCTCACTGATTTGTTTTTACACTGCAACTTCATAAATAGTCCAACTGTCACACTGGGAATAAACCAGAATATTCTTAATAGTAGCAGAAATAAAAGAATGACCCCCTGTGTCTCACAGTGATAATCCTGAGGATCCTGTCTCAAGTAAGGTGTGGGGGTAAGTCCTTGAAACAGTTAAGTATGATGGAACTTGAACTGCAGGTGACAGTAGGATACACTCCAGGAGATTTCAGTAAAATCCTGTTTCTCTAAAAGAAATAGCAAGAAAGGGACAGAAGGAGGAGACCCAGACTCAGCTCCTGCCTTGGTTGTCCCAGATGTACATATCTAGGCACTCTTATGCTCTGGTCATTATAAAATACACACTAATTTACACAAGCCCATAATCTTATAACAAAATAGGTCCTCTAGGATTATCAGATTTTCATCTGCTTAATTGTAATATTCTTTTTTTGCTTTTCCTCAGCAACACCAAGATCTCATCTAGAGAGGAAAAAAAGGCATTAGCAGAAGACTTAACATAGAAGTAGATCTACATTTTCAACACATTTTTATGTCTCATGCTACTGTGTTCCACCATTACGGATCCTGAGAATTCCCTCCTGCCAGTTGCCCTTGAGGCAACCATCCCCAATTTCTCAACTGAATTCATACTGCTTAACAAATCACAAACAAGGAGAGACTTTGAGGTCATGAGCTCTGGGGTTTTTTGCACTTTAAAGATGAACTCCACGGCTGCCTGGAAACAGTGATATCATTTTTGGAAAACATGATGATTTTTTTTTATATTAGAGTTTTTCCTGGTTTAAAAAACAAAACAAAATAAAACAAACCCAAAACCAACTCACATACAACACAAAAGAGAGAGAGGGTGAGGAGGAAGGGTCCTCAATAGTCATTAGTGTAGAGAGGAGATTCACCTGTGACACAAGGGACACTGCATGAGTATCAACCCAGTGGGAAAACCATTACACTGTGAGCTGCACAGAGTTATGATTTTCAGACCCTGGCAGGGTGATGCCATGAACCCAGGGGCAGCAGGGGTTCATGTTGAATTTCTGTTACATAAACCCAGGAAATCCCTCAGTGGTCAGGGGGAGGCATATAAGATTATAGTTTCCATAGAGATAATTTATCTGCAAAGCTACTCTTCAAGAAACAAACAAAAAAAACCAAACACATTTGTACCTGATCTCAGGATGAAGGCTTGAGAATTGGACTTTGCCATATCTTATTGCAGAGCACAGGCAGATGCCAAGTGCTAATGAGTCCTTCTTCTGAACCTGGACAAATCAAGTAGGAAAGAAACAAAATGAGCTCCTACTGCCCTTCATCCCTTGCTTGTCAGACATGTGATTGAAAGAAACTCCTAGTGGCATTCTACACAATTTGAGACAGAATTTTCTGCAGGCCCATGATGTTGTCACTTCTCTGATCATATTTCCCATGGCCTGTGGTCTGGGTCTCAATTTGGGAAGGATGGGACAGCATGGAGGTACCCGACAGTGCCCATGCTTGTTCCTCAGACCTGGGAGGTAAACTGTGAGATGACCGAATCTATAGCTCATGGTGGTTCATTCTTCAGTGATAAAAATGGACCACAAAGCAGTTACTGTATTCCAAGAGAAGGGAAATCTGGCCTGACTTGGTTTTGTCATAATTGATTAGATTTTATATTGTGCTTATGTACTTCTCCAAATCAAATTAGCATGTTGGTTCAAAATCAGCCTAGCAGAAAAACTCTCATTTTCTTTCCCATTCCGCTTCATTTATTACCTGGATTTACCAAAGTTGTGAGGTTTTTTTTTATTTCTCTGACTAGGCCCAGTTCTGCTTAGCTTATAAAATTTGAAACATTCATAGCCCAAGGTTGCAAAATCAATGAATATTTATAATCCCATCTTCCCAGCACACTCAGAGGTGTCTCACAGCTTGACTTCACATTAGAAATGTCCCACCTGTGGGGATCATTCAAAAAACCACAGATTACAAGTCTGTTCAACATAGAACAAGGTCAATACCCAAATTATGGGAATTATCACCTTAAAAAAGGTTGCATACCTGATGACGCACTGCACCAACACTGATTTATAGGTGCTGTACTAGCATGACTCTCACCCGTGAAGATACTATTGCAGCTATAATATTATAAGATTTTTTTTCTGGTTCTTGTCCTGAGCCTTCTTCATGAATGAGCTGCAAACTGCGTAATGTACTCCTCTCACCATGTACAAAGGTATCCCCTATCTCCAACAGCAAGGAACCAACCCCCACCTCATCCGTCTCCAATTAGGCAAGTAAAGATTAACATTAATTCAAGTTATTTTCCTATCTGAGACAGAGCCATGAGGGTTACAGTCAGTTTTACCACTTGTCAGGTAAATATGGTTCCTTCCATTTTGCAGACAGGAAATTAATGTGAACCAGCAGCACTGGAATTAGAAACTATCTTGAGGCCATTTTAGGCCAAGAAAGTTTTGTCACTGATTTTAATGCACCAAGATATAATGTATCCTCCAGTATCCTGCCCTTTCCTATTTTCCCCAAACTTAGGGTGAACCATTAAATTGATGCTTGCCCTGTAAATCCCATAAGCTATTAATGCAGTCCCCTTAGCTGGAAGATAGATTAATGACCTGAAACTACTGTAGAATATTTGCTACTCCAGTGAAAATTAATATCATATTTTATCCTCATTTTATACCCACATCCAGCACTTCCTTCTGCAAAAGATACCAGAAGGAGCTGGATATTTAAATGCCAAAGTTCTAAATCTTATCTTCAAATTTTTAATCAAACTGTTTAACAGATGACTCTTAAATTTCTGCGTTTCCATTTTTTATGCTTCTCTCACCTCATTTTTTTCTGCAAAGAGTAAATTAAAATTTAAAAACTCAGGTGTGTTTAGGAGAGGGGTTTTTTTAAATGCTAATAAAGTTTTAAAAATGCTTTATGTTTTTCAGGACTCCATGCTCCTCCATACTCCACTGCTTGGGCAGGGACTAAATACAAATGTCCTCCGTTTCACTTAGGTCTAAATTCCCAGTTTTAAGGTAGGAAGTTTTAAAGTTTATAGGTATTGTGTGCTATCCTACAAATGACTTTTTTGTCCACAGTCTCCTATCTTTTTTTTTTTTTTAATTAAAATATTATTCTTCTGCTGACTAAAACAACATCGTCCACTTAACACATATATCTGATATTGGATGCAATTTCTAGAGAAAGCAAAATCATGAGAACATTAAAACAACTGGGTGCCTAAGACACAGGCCTAGTCACAGAAAACTCCAGCCAAGTCTCCTTTCTGTAGGAATTAAAACTTAACTGTGAGGTCTTCAGTTCCTCAGGCAAACACAGCAGGCTACTAGGTTTTCTCTTAGTTGTGTTTAGAGGAAATAGAGTAGGGAAAAAGGCAAAGTTGTTTTCTCTCACTGTTATTTCTTGTCAGCACATTTCAAAAGTTTAATCTTTATTTGCAAACAGTAAAAATAGGTTGAAACTTCAAACTTTCAGGAAAATTTTTCTTTTCTTCTATACCTCAAACCCTTAAAATTAAAAAGTAAAAATGTTATGAAAATCACAGAAAACAATCAGCATTTTTGAATGAAACTACATGTTATTCTTTGGTCTGTATTTGCTACTGTTATAATTTATGAAGAAAACAGCCACTTAACAAAGTCTTTATTGTTGAATCATTATGCTTTGGGGTTTTTTTAGTACCCACATCAGGTACCAAATCACACGCAAATCACAAGATAAACTGAACACAGACTTATAAATACATCCACTTACACTTGATCAAGATGCCTTTTAAACCTCATTCCTTGTTATTGGGGATTGTTGTGATGAAAACACTTTTGGGGAGCACATTCCAGACACCCCTCTCTTCATTAGAAACATTCTTGACATCCAGTCTAAACATACTTAGAAAAGAACATGCTATTTCAGTTGAAAGGGACCTATAACTATCATCTAGTCCAACTGCCTGACAAATTCAGGGCTGACCAAAAGTTAAAGCATGTTAAGGGCATTGTCCAAATGCCTCTTGCACACTGACAGGCATGGGACATCGACCAACTCTCTAGAAAGCCTGTTTCAGTGTTTGACCACTCGTTTGGTAAAGAAATACTTCCTAATGTCCAGTCTAAACCTCCCCTGTTGCAGCAATCAGTAGTCGCTCCTGACTCTAGGTGATGTATCTGCTCCCTTTACCAGGTGAGTGGTTCTTCTCTCCTCTCCGGCTACCCCATTTCCCAGTTGCACTCTTTCTCATTGCTCCTCAAAGCAGCTGATGTGCTCCACAGTCCTCCTTCCTCTAGTAGATGGTCTCTTCCCTGTCCTCTTTTGCATGTTTCTGTGGATTATCCTTTCTGTCTGTAGATCGATCTGCCACATCTTCCTGGTCAATAAGGGTCTCTGAGTCTTTCTATTGTCTCCTCTCCCACGTAATTTCCTCAGTGGCTCTCTGAATGCCACCATTTGTGTGATTCTGCTGTTAGTCCTTCTCCCTTCCAGTTTGTGAAGGTACACTGGCAGATGATTGGGCCATGTCCTGAGGTTTTGCTCAGGGAACTGAGCATGCGAAATTACTGGACATGCGGTCAACTGCTCGATGTCCAAGAGAGCAGTGACAAGTGGCATTTCTCAGGCATCAGTGTTGGGACCAGCACTCTTTAACATCTTTGCTGGCTACTGGACAGTGGGACTGAGTGCACCCTCAGCAAGTTTGACAGTGACACCAAGCTGTGTGGTGCAGTCGACACACTGGAGGGAAGGAATGGCATCCAGAGGGACCGGGACAGGCTTGAGAGGTGGGACCATGCAAACCTCATGAAGTCCAACAAGGCAAAGTGCATGGTCCTGTGCATGGGTCAGGGCAATCCCAAGCACTAATACAGGCTGGGCGATGAGTGGATTGAGCGCAGCCCTGCAGAGAAGGGTTTGGGGGTAGTAGTGGATGGAAAACGGACTATGAGCCAGCAACGTGCACTCACAGCCCAGAAATCCAACTGTATCCTGGGCTGCATCAAGAGAAGCGTGGCCAGGATATTGAGGGAGGTGATTCTTCCCCTCTACTTTGCTCTCCTGAGACCCTACCTGGAGTGCTGTGTCCAGCTCTGGGGCCCTCAGTATAAGAAAGACATCGCTGACCTGTTGGAGGGAGTCCAGAGGAAGGCCATGAATATGACTGGGGGGCGGGAACACCTCTCCTATAAGGACACACTAAGACAGTTGGGGGTGTTCACTGAGAGAAGGCTCTGGGGAGACCTTATAGGGGCCTTCCAGTACTTAAAGGGGGCCTACAAAAAAGATGGAGAGGGACTCTATCAGGGAGTGTAGTGATAGGATGAGAGGTAACGTTTTAAACTGAAACATTTAGATTAGATATAAGGAAGAAATTCTTTACTATAAGGGTGGTGAAGAACTGGAACAGGTTGCCCAGAGAAGTTGTGGACATCCCCTTCCTGGAATTGTTCAAGGCCAGCTTGGACAGCACTTTAAGCAACTTGGTCTGGTGGAAGTTGTCCCTGCCCATAGCAGGAGTTGTTAGAACTAGATGATCTTTAAGGTCCCTTCTGACCCAAACCATTCTATGTTTCTATGATTCTCTTCTATGGCAGAAAATAGATCAAGAAGTTAACAAGTATTACAGATATGCCATAAATAATGCCCCAATTACACAGATGGTTAGGAGGGAGGGATGTGAAGAATGGCCAAACTGGAGGTTTAGATTGGATATTAGGAAAAAATTCCTCACTGAAGGAGTTGTCAAGCATTGGAACAGGCTGCCCAGGGAACTGGTTGAGTCACCATCCCTGGAGGTATTTAAAAGACATGTAGATGTGTCACTTAGGGATATGTTTTAGTGGGACTTGGCAGTGTTAGTTTTACAGTTGGACTCCATGATCTTAAAGGTCTTTTCTAACCTAATCATTCTATGATTCTATGACTCTATGAAATCTCATAGATAATTGAGGGGGGAACTGTGGACAATTTGAAGGATGAAAATTTGTTAGGGGCCAGCAGGAACTAAATGTTTGGCTAGGTAACCCTATCAGAAACCTCAAGTTTTGATACCAAGGTAGCAAAAGTGAGACCTACGCGGGGAAAGTAATTAGGGTTTGTTTTGATTTGAGAGAAGACAATGGTGGAGAAAGAGAGGTGATCAAGGTGAATGGGAGAACAGACATGGGAAGTGGAGCAGAAGGGGTCAAAAGGGTCCAGCTGAGTTGCTGGTCAGTATGCTTGAGTTCTGCGCCTGATCACTGCAATCTGTCCTATCTTCTCATTCAACTCAACTCCTAACTATTTTCTGTGTAAGGATTTGGCTTCACCTATCATGGGCATTATTGCACAGACCCTTTGTGTGAGAAATAGCTGCAGTCAGGCATCTGCTGTTGGATGATGTATTGCCCAAAGCTTCTGTATCCTGTCATCCTTGTTTGCTTTTTTCGTTTGAAGTTAGGAAAGAGATAAAAGACTACAGAAGCAAGAATGGTAACAATGTAGGGAACATGAAAAATTTCAGAACGACAAACTCCCCCATAAAATCCTATCCAGACACTGCTGTTTATTATTATTGGTTCATTGGTGCCCAAGTTGCTAAGCTTTTTGGCAGGAAAAATCAGAACATACTGGACTCCACTCTGCTCTAGCCAGCATGCTTCCAGTACCCAATGTAATTAGTTTAATGCCAGCTTGAGTATCTCTGCACTGCAGCATTGCCATACTCTGTCTCAACAAGGAAGATAGAGAGCTAAACAACTACAGCTCCACTCAAAGCTTCTTCTTTTGTCCTAGAGGTAACACTACGAACAGCACTAACAAAAAGATATTAAAAAAAAAACCAAAAACAAAAAAAAACCAAAAACAACCAAAAAACATCAGTAGTGTTGCCTCTGAGATCTCAGTAATTCTAATTGTAATAATCTCAATAAATTAGATCATTTGAAGACCCAGCAGAAACTTTCACAAAAGCCACTGAGACCCAAGCTATCCTATATATAATACTGACACGGGCAAAAAAGGGAAACTCAACCAAAATCCAGAGGAAAAAAGTACAATCTTTAAGTTTCAACCTTGATTTAATAATTGAAACATCAAGTTCCCTAACATTACATGTGACATGCTGTGGCATGGCTTCTCTGATGTGCCAAACTCGCAGACAATTCCCTGGTTTAGATGTTATTAGTCTGCTAATGGACACTCTGTCTGTCTTAATTCTGCCATTTCCAGGTAAAAATAAAGTCATGGCTATAAAACATGGTGTAGGTACCCATGCATTGCACTTGTCTTTCCAATGGAGCCTTCCCAAATGATCAGTTCACAAAGGCCAGCTCCATTTGGCTTGTACCATTCTCTTGAAATCCAAACTGTTTGAAAATATAAATTATTGTTACTACATGCATAACACCTGACATATTTTACCCACTGAAATGAGATATAAAATAAATTTCCAATGACTTGCAGGGAAAGAAGAATTGGTTTTGGCAGGCACCAGTGACAAGTCCCTTTCTCCAGCCTTTTGCCTTAGTTGTGCAAAGCCCCCATGAAGATTTATCCACACCCATGAAGTCAGACTTGAGGAAAACCTCGACCTGGGCTCTTGGATACTTCTACAAATTCTTTCAACTTTGACCTGTGAAATAGATGCTGTCTTTCAACTGTTAGTAATTAGCTCAGTGTGAGAAAATGACAAGGAGGAGACTCTGGGCTCTTGTTCAGCAACAATACTGCTGCTCTCAGTTTGTCGACCAGCCAGGGACAAACAGTTTGTTGTGAAAGTGTTATCATTTTACTGAGCAGATCCCCGGTGTCACACTACAGCTGGCAAACAGCAGACAGAAGTAGCTCCATTAAATGCAAGCACTGTTCACCAGCCTTCGAATGGGACACACTTCCCACATTTGTCATCTTCACTCTGGCTTCCCCACATCCCCCTTGCCACCACAACTTTTAGAGTACCAAATCTGAAGGTTTTCAGCCTCCTGAAAACAAAACAAAACACCCCCCGCCCCAAACCAAACCATTTAGCAGTCACACAGTGAGAAAGCTATCTTTCCCAAGACATTACATTTAAGATTGATTCAGAATCGTAATGGAGTGGGACCTCAGCTGAGAAAAGGGAGAAAATGAAGTTAATTAAAGTTCTGTCCAGCTGGAACTTGAAAATTCTTCAATAGGGGGAATATATCACACCCTGCCTCTTCCCATGTACATTGAAAAATAGAAACTGCTGTGGATTTAATTAAAAATTTGACTTAGTTTTTAGTTAATACCCTTCACTTGATTTATTATTATTCAATCAGGATGCAAAGTTACGACCCCCCATAATGAAAAATAATGTTTTCCTTCCTTATGATAATCTATCTGTCTTTTTATTGGTTATGAATTTAGGCAGAGTTTTTTATAATACCTGGGGAAAGCTGGAGAACATAAATATTACTAACTCAGCTGGTTTAAATTGGCCTTGTTCACTTGATTCAAAGATGGATTTTTTTGCTTGCTATATTTTCCTTGATAA